GCATTAAGAAATAGACAGCTGATTCGGAAAACCGTCATTAAGAAATACATCAACGTGAGAAGCTGAACTTCACTGTTAAGTATAATTTTAATTTTTTAAGGAGTCTCCTTTGCATTAAGTTAAATAATATTTTATAATAATAACTGTCTAAGGAAAATCTCAATATTATTACTAACTACAATTTAAAGATATATGTGGAAGACAAACATTATTATGAAATATAACTTTTACTTAATTATTTTAAAATAAAAGGATACAATAAATAAATGAATAAATAAATATTTCAATAATTAATTTATGTATAGATATATTTATTTATCTCATTTTGAGTATTATGTTGTTCCATAACATTGGGGCCACTCAGGGTAAATGAAAAAAGTCATGGTAAAAAAAACTGAAAGACATTTACAATGAATCAAACCGTAGAAGCAATACACATTTTCAAGGCGGGGTCATTTGCAACCGACATTCCCTTAACTAAAGTTAACCCTTTATGCTTTGGAAATAAATGCATTTTTTAAAACGAGCAAAACCTACACTGACTAGGTCTTAGTAATTTAAGTAAAATTCATTTTTGCTGCCAGTTTTCCTACATTTGGCAGTATCATTTTAGACACCTTTAATCTGTAAGGGGCGTTTTTAATCATTCGACACTATAAGGATACTGAAATATCGATTCTTTCGATCTTATATCTCGTATATCTCTTCTTTCATTTTTTTACAATGGATTTTTTTACTTCTGGATTCTGTTTCAAATGTTCGTTAAGATTAACTATATTGATCCCGGGGGAGAATTCTGGTGCTTAAGCAGCAAGAACATAGTGCACAGGCGAACATACATGTACTGCCAAACAGATAAGGTACAGACACATGCAGAACAATCAAAATAAACGAGTAAAGCGCATTGGGACAACTCTGTTGTGAATGGCGCTATATAAAAATAAATTAAATCGAATTTAATTGAATTAAAGAGAGCTGGACGTAACTATAGGCCTACTACCAGAACCTGAACGTCAGTGTTAAGATTAGAACTACTCTTCCGGCTCCAAACTGAGAACCACGGCTCCACGTCAGTCATAGAGAGTGGTTTGAGAAGGAAAGTGCAGTTGGGTGAGACGGGGAGACTAAACCAAATAAAGAGAACGTAGTTTCGTTTGGAGTCAGTTTACTCCACAAGATAGAAACGAAGCAAAATGTGATGTTTGTCAAAGTAAGCACACTGTCCGTATCGTACAATGGTAGCCTATTTGCGTATTTTCAAAACATTTTTTGAGATCTTGGCGAAAAAATAGGTGAGCAATTTTAATGATTACCTAGTATGTTTAAAAATCAGTCTAAGGTTTACAGCTGCTGTTTTTGCATACGTGCCTTCTCCGAGTCATTGATAGTTTTCTTCCTTGCAGTTGGGCTAATTAATAGTGTGGTGCATTTGTGAGAAGTTTCACAAAAATGAGAGAGGAGGAGGAGAAAGGCGAACAAGAACTGGTAACCGAAAGACATTCGTGTTCTCCTATATGGAAATAGTTTGGACTCCATGGAGAGGACACCAATACCACGGGCTTTGGCAGCGCGGCTTTCCTTCGGCGCAACTGGCGGCAACGCCACCAACTTACTTGAAAGCCTACTAATGGATAGGTTCTGTATGCATGGTGTAGTTTATTTTGGATAAACTATCTTTTGTTTGATAAATATCGCAATATTTATAGCAGAAAAGTGAAATATTGATTTGAGAAACATTCCCAACATCGTTCATAAGTATTTCCATTTATTTCCACTGTTTCTATATGCCCCACCCTTCTCTGGCACCCTCAGCGAGTCAGCCCCGTCTGCATGTACCTGATACAATGTTTCTCTTGACTTAGACAGCATGTCTGCATTCCTTGAGTGGTCGCCTATATATTTATACAGCAGACCACAATTTTTGTTGACTTTAAACGAAAAACAAGCAATTAAATGGAGCGCGGATTTCACAACGAGCAAAAAGCGGCGGATCATAGCGGACTTTTCGACATGTGGCGTGATTATATGCAGTTGGGGACTTTAATGGAGAAGCTGCGTACTCAGCGAAGAAGAGGAGAAATTGTCGTTCCCCAACGCTGTGACCCAGTTGTGAAGAAACAGCCGCACGAATCACGCGTGTGCAGCGGTGGCGCATCCAGCTCAAGCTCGGCCAGTGCCATTTCCGACTGCAGCGACAGCGCCTTCTGCGGATTTTGCAAGCAGAATGGAGAGACAGCTGAAGTGTATCGCTCGCACCGACTCAAAGACAAGGACAACAAAGTCATCTGTCCAGTTCTGAGGAACTATGTTTGTCCAACCTGCCAGTCTACTGGAGACAAAGCTCACACTCGTCGATACTGTCCAAAACGCAACAAAAGTAATGCCATGTTTTAGCAGCATTCTGCTTAATGATATACCAAAATAACTTAGGCCTAAATACTTTATTCTTTAAAAACAATTTCCGTAGGTATATTTTTTTTTCATCTTGAAGCTGTAGGTAATATGTTGTATTTTGTTTATTATCAGTAACCGCAATTCTTTTTCAATTAATTTAAGGGAATTCCTGTCCTGCGTAGGGGAGACCAGGCCGAAAATATCAAGAGCAAGTGTGACAACGTTACTGTTCCATATATAAGAACTGTCAGCATTTCACTGCTGTGTATAGCGTAATCAGCAACTGCTGTAGAAAAATGATGTTAGTTTTGATACTACGTTTGTTAATCAATGCGCCTTCTAGTTCGACTGCCCAATTGTGTTTTGAAAATAAATGTTTTTGCAGTTTCATTGCAAACTGAGAAAGTATATAAATAGGCGCCAGCGAAATATAACATAAAAAATTGAAAAGGTAAGTTTTCTGTAAGCAAATTCTATAAACCACTTTCGATTGATTCTTTCAGCTTTAAATGTGTTTATTACATTAGTATCCGAACGTAGTTTCCCATGGAATAAGATTAATGGGATATTTAAAGATATTGCACGGTAAATTTAGATTTTAACCAATCACTGCATTTACGAAAAAGTGTCATTATGTAAAGTTAAAGTAATGTGTTAGTTATATATTTATGATGATATTTATAGCGACTTTCTGTATGGGTTTCACTGGAAGCAGTAATACGTACGCTAATTTTGGCTATTTTTCCGAGAACAAGTTATTACAAGTGCATCTTCAGTGGTATTCAATTCAAGATGTGCTAATTCAATAGTTAACTTTTAAAGCCCATTATTATTCAAGTAACAATTCAAATTCAATTTCCAACCACGTATCCATGGCAAAAGTAATATGAGGTGCCAGGGGCTATCCCAGGCAACAGGCCCGTCTATGAGGAGGGCGAGCCAGCTTGTTCTGGATTTTGATGAACCTCCAAGCCTCTGCTCAGCGCTCGACCTCCGCACATTACTCTCTGAAAACCCACGTCTCGTCCCCAAAATGAGCGCATCAAGCCAATGCAATATCAGCACAAGATTCTCCATTTCTGTGTTTTTCAATAATGAAATCTCCATATTGTCCGTCCCCCGTTGCATCGCTAATTAATTAATGCTACACGTATGCGGCAAGAATATCCAGGTCGAAACAAGACTGCCAACGGACCTCACATCTACACAGATATTTTATTTCCCGTTCTCCGATCTTATCATCAAAACAAAACTTGCTGGTGCTTCCACTTTAAAACGACAATCATTTGGTATAAACAAATAATTAGATGAATGAATGAATAAATAGATAAGCAAGCAAACAATGTGCATGTTATGGTATGTATGTATGTATATATGGAGTTTGCATGTTCTCCCCGTGTCATTGTGGAGTTTCCTCCAGGTCCTCTGGTTTCCCCCCACAGTCCAAAAACATGCTGAGGCCAATTGGGGTTGTCAAATTGCCCATAGGTGTGCGTGGGTGAGTGAATGGTGTGTGAGTTTGCCCTGCAATGGGTTGGTGCCCCATCCTGGGTTGATCCCTGCCTTGCGCCCGTAGCTTCCAGGATAGACTCCGGACCTCCCGTGGCCTTGAACAAGATACGCGGTTCCAGAAAATGGATGTATGGTTGTAAATCTGTCGTATACACGGACCCGAGGCAAAGTTGGACATGAAAGCATTTTAAAACCAGCAATTCCTATGCTGATCCACGATCAGATTTCCCAGCCCGAACTCTAGAATTAACTTATGTAAACGAGTCTTGGGTCTGCAAATGCTTAGCGCAAAACTAGTGAAAATTTAACCAATCCGAGAAGCCAAACCGCAGAAGCTTAATTTAATATTCACTGCCACAACCAATCAGATTCGTGCGATAGGCATTGATTGGCGTAAATTACAGATCGGGCTGGGCACCTGATCATAGCGTTAATTTAAACCTATACTTCTTATAAGGTCGCGACTGAGCTGACATGGTAAAGATTGGGTGCAAACAAGGCTGAGAACCACTGCCCTAGGCTATGCGATCACATTTCCGAAATAGGATTTAGCCTAACTCTAAGTATATTTCCAGTCTGTGTTTAGTAGGGGTGTAACGGTAGACAAAAGTCACGGTTCCGTTTGGGGTTCACTCTTGGGTGAAACTTCGGTACAACAGGGATAATTTTATACAGTAAAGGATTTGTTTTGAAATTATTTATTATTAAAACAGCATGCGCCTGTCGATGCTTCTGAATAACAAAGCTTAAGAGATGCTTATTTTACACGTTGTAAAAACAATTACGTAAGATTAAGCAAAACTGTACTATCATAACAATCTTTAAAACAACCAGGATCCAGCAGCTAACATTTGTTGGACACTAATTCGCGGGTTCTGGCCGCATATCTGTAGTGTAAATGCGTTTTCGAATTTTAACGGTCCGCGTTTTTTTTACGTTAGGAGCGCGCGACCCGCTGTGCCTGACCTTTGCGCGCGAGGGAAGGAATGGCAGGGAGAGAGACATCGCAGTAATAATAATAATAGCAGTAAGAACGGAATGATAGCACAGAAGGTATCGTAAAATGACGGTAAAATTAATAAGTAACATTCTGACATTGTCTGTAACTAAGGACGAGCCTGTCCGTGACTCGCTTTGCTGCCTGGGCGAACATGGCCTGAGAAGCGGCTTCGTGGTCGCATTGATTCGTTTTATTCGGGAGCTCGGAAATGTCTGTAATAATTTTTATCATTCTCTGCGTATTTATCACTTACATGGTTAGACTTCAAATGAGGGGATGGCGGCTGTTATAAAACTGCTTAATGAGTATCTGTCGGTGCAGTTTGTAGCTTTTCAGCATTTAACAAGCCAATAAACGACGCGAAGTAACAACAATTTTCTAAAAGACGGTTTTAAATGTATGCTGTAATGGTGCATTGATGTGGCCCGCGCCGTCCTGCCACTCAGTCGCTAATGGATGGAATGAAATGATGCCTCGTTTTCCATTTGCACAAGCAAGAGTTCATTGAATGCTTGCACTTATTGTGGTGACTTCTGCGTAAATAATACATCTGAGTTGCAGCTTCACACCGTTAATAAGGCACCCTGCTTTCCCTGGAGAAAATGGGGTGAATGGTTGAAAAGAGCGGTTCTTTGCGTTGGATATATATATATAATCTATGTTTGAATAACAAAACGTGCCCTGTATGCATCTGTCATTTGAATATATCAGTTATTTGTAGAAAAGCAGCTCTAGTACAGCATCACTTGCTGAGAGTACAACAAGAGAGACAGACATCTTTTCATAGGCATAATAAAACCCGTTATCTTTTTTGTAATGCGTGATGTTTAATCCCTTGTGGCCGAGGAACAATCAAGGGTCCATTATTTAGCTAATAAACCAAATGTAGGTTTTAATTGCTTTGATTACACTTATCCGAAGTATCTTAATTTTAACCCAGTTATGAATTTGGATTTTCAGTGTCCTTAACCACTAAAATGTCAGGTTTAGTTTACCTGTATTTTGTATACTGTTATTGTTGTGTTTTCTGTGTTTCCCCTATTTTGCAAAAAAATTGACAAAAAATGTTAAAAAAAAAAAACACTAAAATACCTAAGGCAGACTTAAAGAAGTGTGGGAACATGTTACAATCTTATCGTTTTCTGTAGTGTTTGGTATGATTACAAACAACATTTTCCAGAAAATACTGCCGCAGTGAAATTACCCTCGGGACAGCTCAGTCCTTGGGACCAGATCCAAATTAATGAACACACATTTAATCTGCAGTCTACTTAATCATTTTCCATGGAACTGCTACAGAGCCCATACTTGTTTTGATACTGATATTATACTGTATATTCTACCCATGAAACAAAATGAAATCTCAGACCTTGCAGAACAGACCGGTTTGGAAGAAAAAGCAGATCATAAAACATGCACTTTTTTATATTTGAAGTTATATGGCTCTGTATGTACATTTTGAAGATTAAAATATATATTTTAAGTAGGAATTGTTTGATGATTGATATGTCATGTTTTTTCACTGAAACACTGCTTTTATTGTTCATGTTCCGCAATTCTTCATGTTGTGATTTATGATCTGTTCAACCTTATATCCTTGGCCTTTTTGACTGGTGACCTGAATTACACTTGAGTAATCATTTTGCTAACTAAGAAGTGAGACGATATGCAGCTTCAGGTGAGGAAAAGTTCTTTTTGTATTCTGCAGTCAGAGATGTTCCCATAAAAAGGTGAACAGAATGCATAATTTATCAGTTTTTGTTACTCCGTTTTCTGCTAATGGCATCTGATTAAAAGAGGTTCTGTCAACCCAGTAACCTTCATAGGTTCATTAAAATGAATTTGTGGCTGGACAGCTTAATTGGAGCCATTTCTGTCTCTAATTCTATCTGTAAAATGCTGATTAGGGTTGCATGGTCCCCTGGAGTATTTAGTGGTTTGGTCTGGGGCTGTTTTTCTCTAACCATTCCTCAGGGACCTCCAGACAGTCCACGTTTTTGCTCCCTGCCAGGACAGTACCCATTTTTTCTCCTTACTGGCAGGGAGCAAATACGTGGACTTTCTGAGGGTCCCTGAGGACCACATTGAGAAACAACGGTCTAGGGCCAACATACCCCCCGTTTTTTCTCTCTCTCTGATTGAGTCTGTATACTTGACATATTTTGGCTTATTCACTGTACCTCCTTATTATGCTCAGCTGGTTCTGAATTCACTAGCATGACTGCAGAACCAAAGGCTTCTTATCGCTGACACTTTGGTCTCCCTGTGCCATCCAGTCATCAATTTTAGCTTACAGGAAGAAAAGATTAGATGAAATAGCACAGCAGGAAGTTGAGCTTGGAAGTACAATAGTATCACTTTGAAATGACTCTGCTGCAGGTAGAAATTGATTGTAGTGTTATGCTTTGTATATATTATCATAGGCTTAGCTGTGATGTCACAGGACCCTAGGTTTTTATTATTTTCTTTAATCACTGATTAATGAGCATTAAGGACCTTTGTCCTAGGTGGCTAGCTTGATTTTTGCCCATTTTTATGGACATTCAGGTCATGCTATGGGCTCATGGGCATCCTAAGTCATCTTTTATTTTTAATCAGATGTTCTGCTAGGGATATAGACATAGGATCGCATTCATGTCCTCAAGTATAGGATTGCAGATTCTATCCTATTGTACAACAGAATTCAGGAGCAGCTTCAGGAAACTGTTTTATTCAGTAAAATATGTTAGGAAAATGGATGAGGCAGCTCTCCTAGTTCACGGGTCACATCCTAAACAGAGGACCTTGTGCATATGGAGCCTCACTTTAATCCTTGCATAATGGCTGTTAAGCCCACTTCCCTAAAGTAGCTGCAGCAGCCAGGAAGGAGATCATTAACCTTTTGGAAATTGTCTTTAACCTTAAAATTTATATAAAGGTGCACCGATCCGATATTCAGGATCGGTATCGGCACCGATTCATACCTATTGGATGGATCAGGTATCGACCATATGTGACCAATCCACGTCCAATACTTATTTAGTTTTTGGCAGTCTCTAAAAAGCTCCTATTTCTTGTTAAATTGATTTGTACAATCTATAGCATGACAGCTCTTTCCCATTTTAGATGTGTTTTTGCAGCATTCAAGCTGATAATGCTGCCACTCAGTTTTTTGCCACTCAGTGGATATGAGTACAGTTATTTCTGCCTGCTGTGATGTCATGTGCATACCCTTTGCAGTTAGAACATCAGATAGGAGGGTGACGATCTGGAAGTATTTTATACTTTTACCAGCACAGCTATTTGCAATCTTTGCAAAAACAAAGTTTTAAGAGATGGAAGTAATGTCTAATGGAATATCCCACTTAACAATCTGCACAAAACTGTGAGACCATGCGAGTAATATAAAAAAAGCACTTGATGATTTGGGAGTCGCTAACTTGGGCTGTTTTGCGCACTTGCTACAGCTTGTGATACAAGAAGGGCTGCTATTGCAACGAAGTGTAAATGATGCTGTTGCCAGTGGAAGAAAAATTGTGGGGTATTTTAAGCATTCGCCACTTGTTTATCCTAATTTGGAAGATATTCAAATTGAACTGTAAATGCCTTAAAAACACTTAAAACAAAATGTACAACTGAGGTGGAACAGTATTTTATGTATGTTTCTAGTAGCCTAATTAGCAGAGCTTTTTGCATGTATTTTTTTCATTTGTATTTACTGGTTTTAAAAAAAAGAGCTCTGGTATCAGATCGGTATTCCATATCGGCTGATGCCCTTTGTTCAGGTATCGGGATCATATCAGCACTGAAAAAGTGGGATCGGTGCACCTCTAATGACAATGTTAAAGTAAAAAGAACTCTAGTGTTGGAATCTATTAGTATCGGCAGTTGTGTACCAGAACTGAAAAAAATGTCTATCGTCCCATTCACAAGTTTATTTTATACTAGGAACAAAATTACATTGCTGTAAAATTGGCTACATCTTTTTTTGTTTAAATACTAGAATGAGGTGGAATGTGTATGTGCCTGTCGTTTGTGCTAATTCACACCACTTTCTTTGGCCACCCCGCAACAAAAGAGCAGCCTGACTATGAATCATCTGCTGAAAAACAGAAAACGTGCAGCAGTGTGAGCCTCAGAACTTTTCCACTGTGATAAAGTTAACAGACGAAATGAAGATGCTGGTCTTGGCTCTGGAGGAGAGTGCAGTTCCAGCCCTGTGCGTTCATGCCGCTGATACAGCGACAGGCGAAAATCAGGGCTGGTGAGATTATGTAGTGTGGGGCTCTTCAGTCTCAAAGTCTTAAGGGTTCATTACATCTGAAGGGCTCTTACTCAGCAGTGGGAGACTGCTGATCTGCAGGGTGCTTTTTTTACAGTTCTGTTGGAGAAATGAGAGTAATGGATGTGTGACAGGTCACCCCACATTTATTTGATTATAATCATATTCTATGCCAGCAGGAGATGGGAGAGAAGCGGCGTGAGCGCTAGCTGTGAAACCTCCACCTTGATGTGCAAAGAGTGAAGAAGAAGCATTTAAAGGAGGAACTGAAGATAAGTATGTAAAACTGCTGAGCTCTTCCCTCCCAGGCAATTTACAGAAATGTTGACCTGGCAGTAATTTGATGCTGAAATGGGTTGAATTTCTCTATGCTGAAGTTTATTTGTAGAAAATACACCAGCCGTTAAAAGAAGATTAAATGCATGTTATTTCATAAGTAACACCTGGAGTGTGCAAAGTACCAATTTTTCAGATGTTGTGAGTGTGACACATATCGGTAAGCTTTTCATTTTGGAGGTTTTTATTTATATTACTTGAGTTTTGTCTTATTTGTTTGTTTGCTTGTTTGTTTTTTTTAATTTGGATTGTGTGATATCGGAATGGTTGTCCCTATAAATCAACAACCATATGAGACAAATGACAGATCTGTCATTGTGCTTATATGGAATGTTTGAATGCCACCTCTGGCCTGAGTATGTGGAGTTTCTGTGTTGCCTTTGTGTTACGTAGGTTTACTTTGGGTCCTCTGGTTTCCTCCCATTGACGAAAGAGGCGAGTTATGCTGCGTTCCATTTACTTCAGAAGTCGGAGCTGGGAATGAAAGTTAACTGTGTTCCAGTATAGCAAGTCGGAAAGCCATTTAGCAATACCAGGGATCTGTTCTAAAAAGCAAGATTTCTTTCTTAGCTGGATAACTTGTTGAATTTAATTTAAAATGACCTTTATCTTCGGTCACTTTCATTTAGCCCAGACTTAAATCTGACAAGTTATCTGGCTAAGCAAGAAATCCTGCTTTCTGAAACAGGCCCTGGTTCTAGCCCAGTTAATTGTTAGCCATTGGTAGCAATATCAGTTGATAACAACAAATTATGCGGTGTTTTGCGCATAAAAACACCGTAGAAACATGTCCACAGATAGCGGTTGAACAGTCTGTGTGTACAACTAATTTAATGAGCCACAAATAAGATGTAAGTGCTAATAAATAGCATAAAACTACAGCTTTAACTTCTGTTGATAAAGGAAGCAGCCATCTTGAATTCTGAAGTCAGGGTTTGTAGTTCCTCTGACTTTCCGAGTAGAAATTCCGACTTCAGGGGGTATTTCAGATGAAATTTCCAACTAGGAACTCGGAATTTCCAAGTTACGAGTTCAAATGGAACGCATGATTAGGCCAATTAGTCTCTGCAGACTCTGTAGTGTATAGGTCTATGTGTATTTTAATGGTTTAACAGATCTGAAACAGACAGAAATCATGATAGAAATGTTCGCGATCTCGTGTCACAGTTCTGGAAGATAGCACTATAATATTCACACCCCCAACCCACTGCTGCAAGTGCAGCCTGTTGAGCTCTCCTTACATTACTCCTACATTACATTACATTACTTTGAGAGGAAGGAATGTTACAAAACATTTTCCATTTCACAATTAACACTATAGCACATGTAAGTGTTTGATTCAGTTGTTTTAGCCTTAAGCAATGAACCAGACCAGAGGCGCTCTCTTTGAGAGGAAGGAGTTTATTTCCAGATGATGTTCTCCGGTGCAGTGGATGTTGTTATGCACAGCCTTCTCAACCTTCTTCTCCAAACTTCTGTGTAATACCAGCCCTTTTACAGGGTTTTGGACAACAAACCATGTTTGATCACGTCCAGGCAGGAGCTACAAAATAAAATGTCAGGAACCAAACACTGGTGATGAGTGACTTGGCTGCTTGATCATCCTACCTTGTGGCAGCCTTTGCATAGGATAGAGCCTTGCCTTTTGGTCTTAATAGGGAGTGAAAACTAGGCACTTTCCTGTTTCCATTACTAGGGCTGGGCGATGTATCAAGTTTTTTTAGATATATTAATATATTTTCATACGACATATAGGATGAGACAATATCATTTATATATATATAGTTTATGTAACTTCACCATGTCCCACCCCTGTCCCTCTGCACACAACCTGCCTCTCCCGCTCACAAGTCCTGCATTCAGCAACAACATGGAGACAGACACAAGGCAAGCTAGAAGAGGAGCTGGTTGGTGAAATATAAGTGGGTAATTCATTTTTGAGCCATTTTTTTCATGTACGACATGTACAGCTGTCTGTTAATAAAAGTGCCTGTGTGACACTGGGGACATTTGGCTCTGACTTGGAACTATTTGTTATTAGTTTATGGGGAAAGTTTATATCGCCGATATGATTTTTGGTCCATATTATCCATCCCTAACCATTGCTATTATCAGTTTGAATACAGGCAGCCACACAAGCTGCTATTTCTGTGTCATAGTGTCATAATATAACCAGTGATATCACAAAATAATATAGTAATATAGTTATTATTCTGTTTAAAATTAGGGTAAGCTGTATGCCATGTAAATTTCACACATGACATCTATTTTATTGTTTTCCAACTATGTGTGTCACATGACTGTTTTGGTCCAATCATGATCGTGATCGATGATTGTGCCTGTGGTAAGAGTTAGGCTAGTTTCATTAGCTCCAGTGGATAATAACCTTGAGATTGCAGAAGACCATGACACATTCAAGTCAGTGGTGTGGGAACATTTTGGTCATCCAGTAGAGTTGAGTATTTTGATTTACATTTTGTTTTTTAATTTATTTTTTGTTTATATGGTTATTTTATGTGAAGTTGTGGTATGTGGTTATTATTTTTTTCTTGTCCCTCCCCCTCAAAGAAAAAAAGAAAACAAACAAGGTATCAAGTCGAACAGCGGCTCAAAACTTGAGGTCTGAACCAAACTGTAGATTTGGAGAATCGTTACACCCCCAGCGTGTATTTGCCCTGTGCCAGACTGACCCCACCCCCCTGTTCACATGTTCACAGGTGATGACGTGGCATGAGCACAGTGCTGGAGATGCCCAAGAGAAGAGACGTTCTCGCTGTAGTGCTGATTGTGCTGCCCTGGACGCTGCTCATCACTGTCTGGCACCGGAGTGCCGTTGCTCCCATGCTTGCAATTCCAAAGGGTAATGGATGAAAACCACGCCCATTGGTCTTGACTTGCCAAAATATACACCGAAGGATGACTTTAGCACTTTGCACTTACATCATCAGTTATAATGCTTGGTATGATTGTTTTAGACACACAAACTGTTTTCAGACCCTGCACAAGAATTGGAGGTATAAAATTAGTAAAAAAAAAACAAAAATGCCTAGATTACTTGATGATCTGATCAGATGCCTTTAGCACCAGCTAATTCTCCTCTCTAACCCCAAGCTAAATAAATAAATGTACTATAGAAACGAAGACTTGCAGATTGCTAGCATTCCATGGCACAGAAGTTAAGGCTGCTGCTGTTAGTGGGAGTGTAGTGATGAGGTCATCATTGCAGTTGGACATGTGTCCAGAATGGTGGCCCCATGTGACCACCATGTGGTGCTGGTGCCAGCAGTCCATAGCTCCAAACTCTCCAAACCCTCTGCCTTCCTGTCCGGGATCCTGCCACACCTGAATACTTGGCCTGTTTCTAATGTAGAGCTGTGCTGGATATTGTTGATATTGGTGATGAACTGTACTATGAGTTCTGGGATTTAAATTATAATGAATATGGCACCATTAATTATTAATCTAGCAGTTTTCTGTTGTGCCATTTCTTCTACGGGGTCATGGCTGGATAGGCCTGGCTAGGGATATGTTTGACATTTCTTGTAGGTTTAGGGTTATAGTCAGATTTTGGGTCATGGCTAGGGTTAAGGGAGAGTATTCGGTTTGGCTTCAGAGTTAGGCATATAGTTAAGGTTAGGCTTTGTTTTGGGGTTAGGTCTAATGTAAGGGTTAAGGCTTAAGGTTAGCTAGCTTTAGGGTTAGATATAGGCCATGCCTGATCCTAAGTCAGTATAACCCTAAGCCTAATCCTTATCAAATCTTAAAACTTAGTGTAACCCTAATCCATTCCCAAACCATACCACTGACTCTTAGTGTTTAAATTCTAATCATTTAAGTTCAGATTCATTAAAAGAAAATGGGTGGAAATTGGTGCTTGATCTTGACAGAGCCAGCACTGTATGTTGTGTTGTGTGCTTGCACAGCTCCATCTGACAGTATGCAGATTTAGTTAACACAGAAGCCCACATGTAGCCCATCTTTTGAACCCTGCCCTGAAAAGCTGGCGCTTTCTAACCAGGGAACAGAAAGGGGCGCCCAGACTCACCGCACCTGCTTTCGCTCCTTGCAGCCTGTCAACAGCTAATCAAAGAACTCTTTGTCCTACCAGAAAGGCCTGTGGTCCGACAGCAGCGGCCAGCAGGTACCAGCACCGCATACTGTGCCGTGTGCCAGGCGTGCACGCCAGATCCGGGGCTTCCTAACCCCTGTCATTGTGCCTTTTCCCTCCCCAGATGACAAGAGCGAAGTCCAGCATGAGATGGCTCCAGCCCCAGTGACCTCCAAGGAGCGTTGCTCCCCGGAACGGGACATTGTGGAGGTGGTTCGCACTGAGTATGTGTACACACGGCCCCCACCCTGGTCTGACACCCTCCCTACCATCCACGTGGTCACGCCCACCTACGGCCGGCCTGTACAGAGGGCGGAGCTAACGCGGCTGGCAAACACACTCCTGCATGTGCCCAACCTACACTGGATCCTAGTGGAAGACGCAGCCCGGCCCACAGCCCTGGTGGGCCGCCTGCTCCGCAACACGGGCCTCAACTATACACACCTCAGCGTGGAGACGCCACGGGGTTACAAGAGCCGCGCCGACGCCCGCGACCCTCGCATTCCGCGGGGCACCGTGCAGAGGAACTTGGCCCTGCGCTGGCTCCGCGAGACCCTGGGTTCCAACTCCACCCAACGAGGCGTCGTCTACTTCGCAGATGATGACAACACCTACAGCCTGGAGCTGTTTGAAGAGGTAAGACGTACCATTAGAGTAGAGCAGGGGGTGCGTGTTAGTATGCACTCCAAGGATGTAGTTCTAAGGCTGATCTTGGCTCAACGAGTCTTTAAAATATACAAGAAATTGGCATACACTAGCTGATGATGACAGCTTGCCGATGAGCAGTGACAGTACAACACGCGCACTGAAGAAGAGTCTGATTGCAGAGCAGTGGCAAATTGCTTTCTTTAAAAACCTATAGCTGTCTTTGGTGAGGTTGGGGCTCAGGCCACTGCCTGGCCTTTTTAGACCACTCATCTGTTAGTACATGATAGCCTTGGAAAAAAAGGCTTCTAGATGACCTAGCAACTAGAGGAGGCGGGACCAAGACATCTGATTGGTTGGTTCCACTTCCTCTAGTTGTTTGGATCCAGCTCCTCTACAATCTGATTGTTTATCTCTCTGAACCAATAATATTTTGTTCTACCTTCAGAACATTTTTGTGTAAGTACAACTCCCACGAGCCTTCCTCGCAGAACATAGGTGTGGAGAGACCGCTGTCCACGGTGCTGATCCTGCCTCACAGTGATGGCCGCTGCATTTTGCGCAGACTAATAAACGTCTTCATTCCTGTATTTATTTGGTAGACCATCTCATCCAAAAAGCACAATACAATGACGTAGCAGGAACACAGTAAGGCAAATGTATGTTATTATAGTGTCTGTGTGCAGAAGAAACTCAAAAAGCTGAGCGCGTACAGCAAGCAGTGTCTCGGGGGTTTTCAGACGCCAAACGCAGTGGATTCGGCTCTCCTCCATGCCCTGCACTACCCACTCTCCCATTCAACAGATGCGGTCGACACGCACGGTGTCTGTGTGGCCCGTGGCTTTCGTGGGCGGCCTGCGCTTCGAGTCGCCACGCGTCAATGCCGCTGGCAAGGTGTACGGCTGGAAGACGGTTTTCGACCCGCACCGGCCCTTCGCCATCGACATGGCGGGCTTCGCCGTCAACCTGCGCCTCATCCTACTGAGGCCTCAGGCCTACTTCAAACTGCGTGGCGTCAAGGGCGGCTACCAGGAGAGCAGCCTGCTGCGTGAGCTGGTCACGCTCAGCGACCTGGAGCCCAAGGCCGCCAACTGCACTAAGGTGAGGTCATGCGCGGTTTGGGGCACAACAGGGAGCGTCACGGACAGTCTGTGCTGCCTTCCATACCTTTCGCATTCAGCACAAACGCTTGGGGTTAAAAGCAAGCATGAACAATGAGGTGGAAATCAATGCAACGGGGCTTTTTATCTATATAGCAGATCACAGTGGGACCCAAGTGCAGCTCAAGCCTTTTTTCTGTAATAAAAAGCTTCGCTTCCAGATCAATTGTCCAGAGATGGAAACAAACAGGGCTGTAGGACAGCTTGATTTGTTCCTCTCCTGCTACTATAGCGCCGTTCCCAGGAGAAAGCATGAAGCTCTCCTACCCATCCTACAGGGGTGGAAAGTGCCTTACTCTCATTTTCCCGTTCTGTGAGAAACACAGGAGAAACTGCATTGTTTGCTGAGTGCGGGAAACCTCACAAGCTGTCTTTACCAAGACAAGTCCTGGTGTTAGAAAGTAATTAGAATCAAGGTTTTAATCGGTGGCTTCACACAGCTGGGTTCTTAACAGATGCCCTTTCAGGTCTGTCTTTTTTGTTGTGGTTTGACATTACGTTGATTTCTTAGTATGAGGTATGTCCTGTAATTCCTAATCAGGTGGGCCAGTCAAACACATTCACCCAGCGGGTGTCCCGCCTCCCTGGTGCTGCCCGTGACATTCACGCTTTCTCCAATGTCCCCAGGTTCTCGTGTGGCACACCAGGACGGAAAAGCCTGTCCTGGTTAACGAGGGCAAGAAGGGCTTCACAGACCCCAACGTGGAAATATAAGGCCACTTCCAATACTGGTAAAAACTGCATTTAACTTCTCATCTGATGCATTGGCCTGTGTCATTTGTACAGGTAGATGAGTATCTTACTTGGAGGTAGTAGAGCAGGTCACACCCTTAACTCTGACCCGGAGTGCATGGTCCTGTGGATAAGCATATAGATCTGCACAGGCCAGAGCTGCCAGCCCTCTTTGATGGTCTATTACAGTGTTTCCCAGTCCCAGTCCTCGGGGACCCACAGACCAGATAGGGAAACACTGGTTTATGAAATTGGTGGAAGTTTTTCAAATGTTTGTCTTCATAATGGTAAACCGAAAAAGGCATTACCAAATCAACACAGCTGGAAGAGTGCATGACATTTTCTTTGTGAGGTTCATGTTTGGCTGCATTAACTACTATATTTTTAAAGCAACCATTTATCGCTTGCAGTTGTAAGCACTACATTTTCATTTTGGTATTTATCATACGATTAACATTTTACTTTGTTGGCTAACATGGAAAAATTCTGTATTGTTGGTAAGCTGCAGTATAAGTCTTTCAGTCATGTAGCATTGGTAAATAACCCAGACGTTGGCCTCCCCTCCTCAGTGTTCAGGCACTCGCGTTGGGCTCTGTTACCTTGAAGAACCTGAGAGGAGTGACCTGGATCAGACTGCCACGCTTTCCGTGCTCCGTGGCGGGGGCTCCTGGGACAGGCCCCTGCGACCCCCACTAAACACAGCAGTAATCAGGCGGCATGTGGACGGGCCAGCGATGATCCCGCTGAAGCACACATCGGTAGAGAGAGCAGCAATATTTATTCAGTTCAGTGTCAAGCTAGCAGAAAACCACACAGCAGGACCTTGATGCAATGACCAGCGCGAGTGACCACAGCTGAGAGGATGGCATGGAGCTGAAAGCCAATCAGAGGCCAGATCCGACGGGTCGTTGTAGATTTGCCTCCTTACTAGAACATGGAGGCGTGTCAGAAGTCATTGCCATTGGATAAGACGACCACTTAATGACCTCATTCAACCTGCAACTAGTTGGCATTCTGAATTTTTTCATCCTGCAAATATACAAAAGAACTTTTTTTTTTTTTTTTAATTTGACGTGTGTGTTTTTTTAAAGGCTGGTTAAACAGCATTGTGTCATGTTTGCATTTGGCACGAGTTAGCGTGTCACATGGTTCGTGTGTTCATGAAAGCTGTCAGAAGTGAGTGCAGATAACTCCTCTTCCAGAAGCTCACCTCACCAAGATTTAAGCAATTTAAAATGCTCTTGTTAAAGAAAAAAAAAGCTTTGTAGTTCTACAAAACAAGCATTCAAAAAGCACTTTATAAGGTTTATTTTGTTCGCAGTGTTTTTTCCTGTTATGAAATCCTGTAAGTTATTGGTTCTAACCTAATAATCTCGCAGCGTAGTTACTGCAGCAGAAATTGGTTAGTTTTGTGCCTGGATAAGTTAATGCACATTTTGCCCCAGTGAATAAACGTCTGCAGACTTGTGTGTTAATATCTGTACCGTGCCACACTCAAAGCTGTCTTTTGTTCATCACACCTGAGAGGTATGTTTGTTATTTTTTTTCCCTTTTACAACCAGTATAAATGTGTATGAAAAAGCTCACCAGTCACTCGATCCATCGATCTGAATTCCAGCCGTTTATCCAGTACAGACTGTTGTAAAATCCTGGTTCTGTTTAAATACTGTAGCAATTCCATATAACCCACTAATAGAGTAAAGTAAGGTGATGCCTGATTCCCCACAAATCCTCGACCTTTAATGCCTCATTATATCAGGTGTCTAACAGCAATGCAATACACTGCTTAGTTAGCAATTTCGATAAGTAAATATCCAAAAAGAAAAAATATCATAATTCCATCAGTATTTTATTATAGCTCATGCTGTTTTCATTTTAAATCAGTATTTTAAAAAAACAGTTCTAAAATTTTCAGAATGAAATCAACTAAAAGCTGCCATAAGCAAAGGAAAATGCCCCCCAGAACAATGTCACTGACGCATCTCCGATTCCCTAAATGTCAGCAGCCATGCCCAGATCTGCAGAACTCTCAAAGTGGACTTTAAGGTCAGCCTCCTCTTCTTCAAACACGATAACCTGCAGTCAGCACAAAGACAAGGGGAGGTTTATCCCTCAGTAAGGGAAAGGTCGCTCACCAAAGCCACTGGGTGAAAACAACACTGATTGGCTGGGATTTGATGTCGGCAGTCAGATTTTACGAGGCATGCAAAGCTTTCAAATTCATTTCTTACTCTGTTATGAGAATGTTTACCTCATGTATTGATATGGTTAAACTTTGCTTATCACTTTGTGTCCTGGTAACAGGTGAAAATGCGTATAGTAAAACCTACAGCACCTGGTCACATGTTCACTTGCATTACACTGAAGAGTACACTGGGTTTTACAGCCATACTCCCTTTTTCTTTACCTCGTTTGCTCCGCTGTTGAGCCAAGGCCCCGGAAGGTAGAGACTTTGCTGGGGTCCTACAGACCAGTGGCGTCCGAGGTTCTGCCCGTTCACAAACACCACGCCTTTGCCCCAGCCCTGTGGGCACCAACATTGTATGTTTGTCTGCTCTACACAGCATCCAAATCTTGCAGATTCATGATACAGCTTAAGCGACATGGGGTTAATATTAAGGCATTTACATGCTCACAGGGGCTGCCTTAAGATATTGCTTCCCTGTCAGGGCTAACTGGCTGTTTCAGGCTAATTGGTGTTTATAGCTATCCCCAGTCTATGGCTGTGTATGCCCTATGATGGACTGACATCCTGCCCAGGGTGTTCCTTAGCCTGACCAAGAGAAGCAATATACTGAATTTCTAAAAATACGCACATTATTGATGATATTTTAAATCAGTTTTTGCACAGAGATCCTTGGTGTGAAATAATAAATGGCACTTCATTGATCCCTGCAGGGATATTCTCTTGACACTGCCTCCAGCTTGCTCTTTATAGGTGAGAGCAAATTGGCTGTGAAGGGCAACCACCTGTTGCAGTACCCAGGGAGCTAAGGGTCTTGGTCGAAGACCGGCAGATGGGATAAAGCCAGTCTAGAACCAGTGACTTTATGATCACAGACACAGAGGCTTAACCCACTCAACCACACACTGTCCCATATAGATTATGGCACAATATCAACACCATTTAAACAATATTTTAAATAATTTTTGAAAATTTATTTCTGTGTTAATGAAACCTCAGTTTGAGCCCCGTAGCTGAGCAGTAAACCATGCCGTGCTGTAATCAGTGGGTGTGGCTATGATGTCGCTTTTCTTTCACTCCAAAGGAGGACTATCATTAGAACAAAACAGATATGAGAGGCACTCACTGGCAGCTTGACAAAGGTGTCGCTTGGGTAACCGTCGACAAATAACCTCCCTTGGAAAAATCCCGGGAAGGTGGGTGTGTAGGGGGGCACCTTCCAGGGTGCCCATCGTAAGCTGCAATACAGACAGTCAGGGTTCACCATGGGTCAGTATCCTGACAGCAATCAGTGCCCTTATAACTGGCTAATGGAGACTAATTACAGATAACTAACACACGAATGGCTAGAGATCACAGTCAGGTCAGAAAGTCTGGATTTGGGTTAGTGTTGATTACACAAGCCATTATCAATCCATGGGTCGTGACCCAAATTTGGGTTGTGGCAAGTTCTTAAAGGGTCGCGAGGCAGAGTTGGAAAAGTAAGCATTTTAAAACCAGCAAGCTCCTATGCTGATCCAAGATCAGATTTCCTAGCCCCAATCCTAAACCTATATAAACAGGTCTTGGGTCTGCAAATGCTTAACGCAAAACTGGTGAACACTTAACCAATCCAAGAAGCCAAACCGCAGATGCTTAATATAAAATTCACTGGCACATCCAATCAGATTTGTGCAATAGGCATTGATTGGCCTAAACTGCGAGTTCACTGCGCACCTGATCATAGCGTTAGTTTAAACCTATACTTCATATAGGGTCGCGACTGAGCTGGTATGGTAAAGATTTGGTCGTGGTGCAAAAAGGTTGAGAACCACTGGATTACAGCAACAGATAAAGCCACTCAGTATCACCACACAGCATTTCCAAGGCTCCTGCACACGTTTATTAAAAAAATTAAACGAAATGCACATCCCTACATGTCACGCTGCTCATGAGTGACGTCAGTTTCCGAAAACCATCGGCACTTGGGCACTTTCTTTTTGTTTTCATGTGAACAGTGACTCGCTTTGTTTGCTTGAAGTTTAACAAACTTTAGCTTAGCGTTTTGTGACTTTTGTTGAAAAACACTTGTATACACATATATTGAATCAATTGTATGTACTGTACATTGTAAAATGACAGTTAACTGTAACTGTAAAGTGTCCAGGCTTCCCCAGCCGTAGATTTTCATTTTAGGGGGTGATTAGGGAAAATCTATGAATATGCCTAAGGGAAGCGCTACCTGATTGGTCAGTGAAAACTCATTAATATTCTGATCAATGAACACGTCCTCTTTTTCGTCTCGCTTTAATATGGTAACCCTATCTCTGTCCTTCTGTTGTCTAATATCAGCAGTGATGTAATGGTGCACTTGAATTCGTGTGCAAAGAAAAACTTTCTGAGATCTGTCAAAAAAGAATACTGCACCTTGCAGTACTCTCAGAACTGTGCTTTTTATATACCTCTTTTAAACATTAGACTCGTTTTTCCCTAACAGCAAAAATGCTGAAATAGAGATCATTAAATGGAATGAAACAGAATCCTCCCATTCAGCAACACTAATTACTGCGGTGAAAACGTTGCCCTTCACAGGTGAGGTCAGAATTAAGTTCAGTTTTTTAGCTGATTAAATTCAAACGCTGACACGGCGTTTCCTGGTACGTGGAAAATATGGCAGAGGCAACATTTCCGCACATCGGCAGTCCCACACCTGTCTATGAAGGTTGACTTCATGTCCAGGATATAGATGGTGAAATCCTTCAGAGGAACATCATTCAGTAGAACATCCCCCACCAGGCCTGCAATAAAACCACAGAATAATCTAATGGATGAAGGAAGGGGAAAAAAAAAATTGTGTTCACATTAAAGAAAAAACAGTTCAGTTCATTATGCATGTACAGAAAAAAATGTCACTTGACTCTAAGATATAATTATTGGAAATAGGAAAGTCAAAGTAGCATCTCTGATAGTCATTGCTTCCCAATGTCACCGGTGGCTAGTGGATATTTTTTATCCAGAACAAACTCGTGATGTTCAGCTGACACTGTGCTCAAAATAAGACCCCTTTAACTTGGGTCATCCTTAACCACACCATCCTGTCACCAATCCCAACACCATCTGGAACTCCACAGACTTCTCTGCTGCATGCTGGAGGGTTGGTTTCAAACTCCACCTTTGTGCTGTCTGTCCAGCTGCTCCCCCCGGCTCACCCGGCCACCGTTCTCCACCAGAAGGCTCAGCGTTCGCACACCCTGCAATCCAAAATGAAGAAACATCCAGTCTGAGACCCATTTTCACTACCAACCGTTTTCAGGAGACTAATGTCAAACAACCCATGGGGTCAGGATGGCCGAGTGGGCAAAGGCGCCAGACTCAAGAATAATCACCTTCACTTGCATAGTGAGTGTTCTGGTCTCTGAATGGAGGCATGGGTTCGAATCCCACTTCTGACACAAGTGCTTTTGAATAACTACTTTCCTGTTGAGCCCTTGAATAAGACTCTTAACACCCAAAAAATTCTATAGGGGCTCAGGATAATTGGCCGAACCTGCATAGACCCCAAAATTTGCTCTCAGATGTATTTACACCAGGGGTCTCCAACTCCGGTCCTGGAGAACTACTATCCAGTAGGTTTTCTATCCTACTTGGCTTCTAATGAGCCACACCTGGCCCTGGTATTTACCTGAGAACAGGTGTGGCTCATCAGAAGCCAGGTAGGATTGAAAACCAACTGGATAGTAGCTCTGCAGGACCGGAGTTGGAGACCCCTGATTTACACTCTATGGACAAAAGTACAAGCCACTTAATCACTGAATTTGCGTGTGTCACCCAGACCCATTGTCAGAAGTGTATAAAACGAAGCACCTAGCCATTTAGTCTGGTCTACAAACATTTGTGAAAGAAATGGGTCGTTCTGGAGAGCTCAGTGAATTCAGATGTGATGCTGTCATAGGATGCCACCTTTGTAATAAGTCAGTTTTTGAAATATATTCCCTGCTAGACATTCCATGGTCAAATGTAAGTGGTATTATTACAAAGTGGAACCTCAACCACAAAGTGGCAGACCACTTATAGAGGGGGTGTCAAACTTCAGTCCTGGGGGGCCGGAGCCCTGCACATTTTTGGGTTTCCCCTCATTTAACACACCTGATTCAACTCCTTGCACCTCCTTGTGCTAATTACCACACATCCCTTGAACTGATTCATTTGTTTTTTAGGGGTTGGGCTGGGCCACTTAGTGCCAGTGAGGGGAACTCCTAATGCTTCAGCATGCCAAGACTGTATGCTAACTTTGTGGGAGCAGTTTGGGGAAGAGGCCC